AAGCAACTAACCCAGAATCCTCCAGAAGGAATTCAGGCCCCATGAATGAAGAGAATTTTTTTGAATGGGAGGTGTTGATCGTAGGCCCTGAAGATACCTGTTTTTGAGTTTGGTGTTTTTCCTGCTATCTTGAGTTTCCCACCTGACTGCCACTGAGTCCTCCCAAGATGAGGTTCACTTGCGAGATGTTCCATCCCAGCATCTACCGGGACCGGCAGAGTTTGCATCTCCATCCTCCACAGGCCGGTAATGACCCCTTAGGCTTCAAGAGAGGCTCTGAGAGGGGGAGCCCCTAGCTGAGTGTGGAAAATATCCTGCTGTGGGTGACGGGCATTCTGGCAGAGCCCAGTGACGAAAGTGGAGCTAATGTGGATGCTTCCAAAATGTGGTGAGGTGACTGGGAGCAGTTTTACAAGACTGCCAGTCAGATCTTGCCGAAGTCTCTGGGACTCTGAGGCTGTGCACGCGCAGAAGGCAGGACCGCACCTTGTAGTTCCAAGGCTGCTCTCGGGACGCTCAGTGACAGTGCTGCTGGTGCTGCCACCAAAACAGCAACCACGGCACTTCTTGTTTCTTACCTTTCCACCTCAAACAGGCTTCTTTTCTGGAATCATGGCCTGCATAGCTTAAGGACAGCTTTGCGATGTCCAAGTGTTCCTCCTCGTGGAATGTTCAGGAAGGGCACCTGGCTGTCTCTAATTCCCAGCCATTGCTCAGTCCGTGCTCCCTCCCGCGGCTGTCCCCAGGATGAGGGCCTGTGCAGACCAGCTGCCTCCAACAAAGGCATGGGGCCTGTGGCAACGGGGAAGGGGCGGTGGCGGGGTTGGGCTGGCACACTTTATACCCCACTCCCAGTTCCATGTGCTCTGTGAGGCGTTCACGACGTCTCATCTTGTGTTTTACAAGCAGAGGTTGTACATACAGCCTCTTCATTTGTTGTGCATTACAACCACACTTAGAAATACTTTCAGGGATGCTTTGTAAATGGTCAGTGAGAAAGGAGACAGAACAGATTCTTGCTGGCCTCGAAGACCAGTGGCTTCTCTGGTTGCATTTTTAGGGGATTAGCGTTCTGTCACCGTTGCTTGTGCACTCCTAGAGCAGACACAGGGAGGTCTTTGAAGTGTTAGTGACATTTTTCTCCTGAGTTCTGCAGTTTTCCTTTTCTAGGCTAAAAGCTGGGTTGCTCCAGAGCTCTACACTGTGCGAGCAGTTGCACCAGGACCATTCTTTGCCCTTGAGGTCAGAAGGGACTCTACCATTAGTTGGCCCAGAGTGCAAAGGTATGCCTTTCCCCAGGTGGAGGGAGCACTTTTTTGCAGTCTGTGACTTTGATGCCACCTAGGTGTCTCTGACTACAGAGCTGAGCAGCACAATACCCCAAGGAGACATCACAAGCAATAACAGATCTGTTGCCTGGGGAAGCAGATGCCTGACCTGTTCCAAACAGTTTGCATTTCAACAGGAGTTTGTTTTTAAAGAGATGGCCTGTGAGACCTGTGATAGATTTCATTTCACATTAGCCTCTTTCCTTCATGTTAGCCTCTTTCCTTCCCTTCCCAAATGTGTCCAGCGGACATTCGTCTCTTAGGGAAACCTCACATTTCATGGTGTTAACAATTCTGTAGAAGGACTTGTGTTTGGAAGGGTAAGGAGGTGTTGTGCTACATAGTGTTTACAGGCATGAAGGAGATGCAGCCTTTCCAGAGTAGGAAGCAGTGGCCTGTGTAGAGACTACTGGCCTGCTTCAAGATCATGGGGACACAGTCACCTGTGGGTGTCCATGGGAGGTGGGGGAGGAGCAGCAGTATCTTTGCAAAACATAGTATTTTATTAATTTATATTTATTGAATGAAAAACAATCCTATGGTGTCCCTCTTCCGTTGTGGAATTTAACTACTATTAAAAAAAATAAAGTTCTATATTTCCCCCTCTTACAAAGAAAGAAAGATTGGCACACTTTGTGTCTCCAAGGCTCTGTTCTGACTCCCGGGACTAGAGCAGGGTAGGTGGCATTAGGCATGGGTGCCTATTAGAAATCCTAGTGAAAACGTGGGATAGGCAGTGGAAATGCAGTTCTGGAGTTCAGAGAAATTAAAAGAAACCAATTGGAAAGTTACCAAGTTAAGTGGGATTTGTAGATGAGACTGTCTAGTAGATAAAGGAAAAGAGAAAAATGTTAGGACAGATGCCTGGCTGACTCTAATAGGGTGATAAAGAGGAACCAATAAACTCTTTCCTCTCAAAATCCACTTCCTTCCACCCCAAACTTCTCACCTCTTTTATCGGATTAACATGTACTTATTCAGATGTCAGAGCTCAGTATGAACATCACTTCATTTGTTTTTAAATTTATTGTTCATTGTTCTAGGATGAAATTGTAAATAGTGGGATAAATTAGTCCTGACCTTCATTAAGCTTATCTTCTACTAGGAAAGATAGTCAACTGACAAGTGAATAGGCAAGCAAAAAAGGTAATTACAGACCAAGAAGTCAAACACTGACTGAAATAACCAGGATGATAAGACAGTAACCAGGGGAGGTCCTTGTAGATGATAGTGGAAGTTCTCCCTATGGAGCTGACCATATACTAAGATCAGAAGTATGAGATGAGGTGGGAGAAGAACTGGAAAGGGCTTGGTATGCCTTAAGAACCAACTTTCCTTATTCTCCAGGCTCAGTCAGGCTCTCTTTGCCCTGCTCTCTCCTAACACTTGACACCCAAAAATCCCTCAAAAGAGTGATTAGTGATTTAAGTAGTCCTGGACTCCTGATTAATTTATAGGTTTAGTCAACTAACATTAATTAAGCAGGGTTAAATTATATTGAGACTACTCGGCACATAACTGCTGGAGAATACCAAGAAATGTTAAGACTAAGCTACCTGGAGCCTGGGCTAGGGAGGTTGGCTTACTTGCCTATACTAGGCTGGCGTTTTCTCCCCACCCCCCTCTCTCCCTCTTCCCAAATCTTTCCACTTTCTGGTGGGTTCCTGTCCTTACTCCTTACCTGTATTCACTGGAAAGGGTTCAATAAGATATTGGGCTAACTGTGCCATTATGGAATCCAGGCCTTCCTCTGTTACTTACTAGGTACATGACTGAAAGATTCCTCATCTAAATTGGAAATTACCCTCCTTCCTTAGCTGTTTGGGGAATACATAAAGAAGTAGTTGATGCCCCATAAGGCAGTATAGAATTGTGAAATATTATTAATATTTGTCAGGGCTGGGGATGTGGCTCAAGCAGTAGCGTGCTCGCCTGGCATGTGTGCGGCCCGGGTTCGATCCTCAGCACCACATACAAACAAAGATGTTGTGTCCGCCGAAAAACAAAAAAATAAATATTAAAAAATTCTCTCTCTCTCTCTCTAAAAAAATTAAAAATAAAATAAAATCCCACCTGTGAGAATTCTAATCCTCATAAAAAATATTAAAAAAATATATTTGTCTAAGGCAGACTGCAGGTTCAATGGTACAAACAGAGACAGTTTTGAGGACATTGTGAACCCAGAAAGAAAGAAATGCCTAAAATTTGGTTGAAAAGAAGAAACAGAAAACCCTGAAGATGCCATTTGTTCTGGGCCTACTCAGCCATCTGCAGGACTGGCTTCCCAAGATTCGAGTCAAAATCTTGTGAAGCTTAATTGACATTAAGCTTTCTGTTCAGCCTCTCCCAAGTACCCAAGTTTTCTTCCAGGCTTAAGATTTTTGGGGATGTATTAATTTCCTGTTGTTATGGTAAAAAATGACCACAAATGTAAACACAGATTTATTAAAACAACACATATTTATTATCTTACAGTTCTAGACATCAGAAACCTGAAATATGTCTCACTGAATTAAAATCAAGGGATGATCCTTTCTGGAAGCTCTAGGGAAGCCTTGCCTTTCATAGTTTTTAGATGCTATTCACATTCCATGACCCCTTTCCTCCATCTTCAAAACCAGCAAATGACTAGTTGCGTTTTTCTCACATCTGATCACTCTGACACTGACTCTCCTTGCCTCCCTATTCCATTTACAAGAACACTTGTAATTACACAGAGAAAAATCCAAGATAATCTCCTCATCTCAAAATCATATTCCTTTGACACTCAAGCCCATGTTCCTTTTACCTCTAGTTGGTTTGAGAGGCTTCAGGGCACTCACTCTGGGATTCTATGTGGAATCCAGGGAAGGCATCCCATTCTTGGCCTTGATATTCCCTATTTACAACAACTGGCAGCACAAACAGGCAGGGAAGGTGCCTCCTTCTTTTTGGGAATGGGAGTCATTGATTTAGCATGGGCAAGGTCTCTGTAAAGATCTGTAGGCACATTTGCCAGAGAAGGGGGGAATTTTGCTTTCAGAGGAACAATTTTGGGTTATCTGAGGGCCACCAAGCCAAGCCCTCAGTAGTGACAATAGATATCATCCTAGATCAAGGACTTAAGTGAGAGACAGGAGTAGTGATGTTCTTTCAATCTTCTGTCTTGATCTCGACCTTCACCACATAGGGTAACAAGGTTTTAACAGAAAATTATGGGATTTGTGGTACTGTTAATTTTTTACTTATCTTGGGCCAACCCTCTGGACCATTTGTGAGCCACACTGGCCAAGTGATACAGTGTTCACCCAAAACACCAAGAGGGAATAGGTACTTTTATTGACAGGTTATAAATGCATAGGATTTCCTTAGAAAGGTGGGATAAAGGCTCCAGCAAGACACGAGGGGAAAAGTCAATAATGGGTTCATTTATTTATTTATTCATTCATTTGTTGAGCAGATGTTGAGACCTGTTCCAGGCTCCTTGCTAGAAGCCAAAGATCAGTCTGCAGGGAAGATACAGTTCATCAGTGGGGCTGAACTCTGTTCAAATACCCAACAATTAACACAGTGACTACACGACAGGCAAAGCCATAGGCTTTTAGACTGATTATAGCAGTAACTGCAGGGGTCAGGGGAACTCAAGAATTGGAGCTGGGTTAAAGTCTCTAGGGAAATAGCATGCAGGAGAGTATGGTCAGACGACAACAGGAAGAGCAACAGGTCTGTGTGGATGACGAGGCACAAATGGACCTGGTAAGACGGACTTGAAGGCCAGGCCAATGCATTTGGATTTTGTGCTACAATGCGTGAAAATCAATTGAAACTGAGGTATAATTTACATACCACAATATTTGCCTTTTTAAATTGTATAATTAAATGATTTTTAGTAAATTTAGCAAGTTGTACAACCATTACCATCATCCATCACTCCAATAAGATCCTTCCTGCTCATTTACAATTAATCCTCATTCCCATCCCCTACCTCAGGCAAACATTATTTTACTTTCATTATTTTTTTATTATTACTTTCATTATTTTTATTTTCATTTTTTAAATTTTATATATCATATATATAAGTTGTAGATAGATGCAATACCTTTTATTTTATTCATTTATTTATTTTTAAGTGGTGCTGAGGATTGAACCCTGTGCCTCACCCATGCTAGGCAAGTGCTCTACCACTGAGCTACAACCCCAACCCCTCCATTCCTTATTATTGCTAAATAATATTCCGTTGTATGGATACATTGTATTTTGTTTATCCATCAGCAATAAATTGATAGTTGGGTTGTTCCCTCTTTTAGACTATTATGAATAATAATATGAACATTTGTGTACAAGTCTTCTGTTGATGTATGTTGGCATTTTTCCTTGGATAGATAACTAAAATTGCTGGGTTATATAGTAAATATATATTAAATCTTTTAAGGGCTGGGGATGTGGCTCAAGCAGTAGCACGCTCGCCTGGCATGCGTGCGGCCCAGGTTCGATCCTCAGCACCACATACAAACAAAGATGTTGTGTCCGCCGAAATCTAAAGAATAAATACTAAAAAAAAAAAAAATTCTCTCTCTCTCCCTCTCTCTCTCTCTCTCACTCTCTCTTTAAAAAAAAAAAATCTTTTAAGAAACTGCCAAACTTCCCAAAATACCTGCACTATTTTACATTCCCATCAGCAATATTTGAGGGTTCTACTGTCTCCCTGTTCTCATCAACTGCTGTTATTGCTGTCTTTTTTATTACAGCCATTCTAGTAAAGGTGAAATGATATTTCAGATGTTTTTAATTTGATTTGATTTAAATGTGCTGAAAATATTTAAATATGCTTACTGGAAAATTGCATATCTACTTTGGTTAAATATCTGTTCAAATCTTTTGCCCAGCTTTTAATTGAGTTTTTTATAGTACTATATTTGTGTTATAAGTATTCTTTATGTATTATGGATATATTATCAGACGTGATTTACAATTGTTTGCTCCCAACTTGTGACTTATCTTTCATCTTCTTTTTTTTAATATTTTTTTAGTTGTAGATGGACACAATACCTTTATTATTTATTTAATTTTATGTGGTGCTGAGGATGGAAACAAGTGCCTCATACATGCAAGGCAAGCATTCTGCCACTGAACCCCAATCTTAGTCCTATTTTCATCTTCTTAATGGTGTCTGTTGAAAGACTTTTAAGGGAAAAAAGGACAAGACAACTAATGTGAACAAATTTTAAATGTGTTTTTTTTTTAAAAAAAAAAAAAAAGGACAAGATAGAGCTGTGCTTCAGAAAGATAGTCTGGCAACTGTATGTGGGATGGAACAAAGGGGACAGAGAATTCTTTTCATAAGTTATAACAAAGGGAACAGGCACAGGTCAAGTTTCTTAAAATCCTCTGGGAATCAAAGGGTTATAAGCAGATATTTATCAAAGCATGTTTACAGTCCAGTTAATCAGTAAACCAGAATCCGTGAGACTACCAATATAGGGATGTGCAAGAACTTTTCAAGAGGTTTTCCAGGATTGGGAAAGGAAGAGAAATGAGCATGGAGAGCTGAGGGGCTATTCCAGAGCTACATAAATAATTTCCAGCATTGAGTGGGAAAGTCCTAAGCCTCCTTTCAAGTGCTGTCACACTAGTGTTTTGTGGTGGGAGCTAGGTAGTGCTGGTTTTCGGCTCTTTGGATTTTGACTGTTGAGGAGGCTATTTGGAGAGGTGGGAGCACATTTCAGTGTCTCTCTTTGAAGAAGCCCAGCAAGATGTCAGACCTGTTTTCAGCCTTCCTGCACCTCCTCCTTCTCTTCAAGTTGGTTGCCCCAGTCACTTTTCGTCACCACCATTATGATGACCTTGTGCGGACACTGTACAAGGTGCACAACCAGTGCCCCTACATCACTCAGATCTACAGCATCGGTCGCAGTGTAAAGGGAAGACACCTCTATGTGCTGGAATTCAGTGACTACCCTGGAATCCATGAGCCCTGTAAGTCTTGAGCAATTCTGGGAGCAGGTGGGACAGGACTCTTCCCTTACAAATCCAGTCATTGGTATTGTTTCTAGGATGGTCGGTGGAACCTTCTCCTATGGATTATTACCTCTTTCTCAAACTGTGACAAGTCTTTGCCTACTTGGCTCTTAAACTTCCCCTGCCTCTGGGAGCCACAACCCCAATTCAGGCTCCAGCCACTCCTTCCTCTTTAGGTTCTGTTTGCTTAAGACCTTAATGGCAAAAGGTGAATCTTCTTCCCGGCTCCCTTCCCATCCCCCTACCTTCCCTCCCATTCCCCTTCTTTTTTCTTGCTATTATAGTATAATATCTTTCACAATCCAATGGCTCAGGAGCATAGCAGAAATAATTAGCTCTTGTAGTTTTGTCAGGGAACTTAGAAGGGTTTAGGAGACTCTTCCTGGAGTAGAAGCAGGATAGAACACAGTATCCTAGAGTTCAAGGGTTAGGGTATTAGATTTATTTATTGGATTCTTTTTTGCCAGTTTGCTTCTATTATCAAAGCAATCCATGTTTAGATTAAAAATTAGAAATTAGATGTAATAATAATAAAGTTCATCCATAATCCCAACATTCACCGAAAACCACTGGTAACAAATGGATGCATATCTTTCCAGACATTTTTCTCTGCATATTTAAATCTACCTTTCATACACATATAGTTTTTCATAAAAATAGAATCATAGCTACTTTCCTCATTTCACAGTCTGTTATGAATAGCATTTGTGTCTATAAATATAGATCTATGCCACTATTTTGGGCTGTGAAATATCTTATTGCATGGTTGTCTTTAGCTGCTCAAGAGTTGATGGACATTTAAGTTATTCCTAATTCCTCATTGCTTTACTTTACTTTCCTCTCCACTCCCACATCCTCAGCCCTAGCCCAGTCTCCACCACAACTTGCCTAAATTATTGCATAAACTCCTAATGGGTCTCATAACTCCTAACTGCTCCCACTGAATCTTCTGAATCTTCTCTGAATCTTCCTGAACTTTCTCTGAACCTTGTGTTATTTGGCACACAAAATAATTGTTTTCCTAGAAACTGTTATAATCTTACTCTTCTGTTTCAAAAATCCCATGAATTCGGACTATAAGAATATCAGAATATTACATAGGAGAAGCTCAAGGATCGTCATATGGTTATATGGTCTGAAGGGACTTGCTTTGAAGTTGCACTTGCATAGCTAGAACATGCTTTTACTCAGATCTCGTGTACACTGTGGAAGCTTAAGACTATTAGTAGGTATGATGGGGTTAGTCCCCCAATACATGTCCCCTTCTTGGTGCCCCTATACTTTCTAGCATTCAAGGCCTTCCTTGGAGTTTGTTTATACAACACTGCCTCTCCTGATTCCACTTTTCTCTGAAGCCTGTAACTTTAGCTATTCATCCATCTGTTCCTTTCATTCACTTATTTTATAAATATTTACCAATCACCTACTATATGTAAGAACTTTTATGTATTCTAGAATTACAGCACAGAATAATACAAAGACCTTGCCCTCATAGGCCTGAAGCCTAGTGGAGTCTACTGAGTAATACAATACATATTATATCAGATGGAAACTAATGCTAGAGCAAAAACAACTCAAGAAAGAGAGAGAGAGTTTCATGAGGTAATATTGGGAGGAGCAAGGAATTGGTGATCAGGAAAGGAATCCCCACTGAGGGGGTTTTGAACAGAGATCCAAAGGACATGAGGGAACATTTCATGTTGATATTGGGCAGGGGTTGGGGAGGTGGCAAGATAACAGGCAGAGGCAAGAGCAGATGCAATGTTCTAAGAGCTAGGGCATGTTGGCACACATGAGGAAAAAGTGAGTGGGGGCCCTATGGTCCAGCAGGGTGAACAAGGGTAGAACAAGAGGCGAAGTCAGAGACAGACAGTGGGGAATACTGGGCAGCAGAGGATCACATAGGGCCTTAGAGATCTTTATAAATATTTTGCCTTTTACTTTGAGTTAAATGAGAAGCTACTAGAGAGTTTTAAGCAGAAGAGTTGCAAAGATCTGACTTACATTTTTTAAAAGATCACTCAGAATAGAAGGCAGCAAATTGCCGCTCCAGAACCAGCACCAGCTTTGGTGAATGAAGTTTTACTGGAATGGCCACACCCATTTGCTTTTGCATTACTTTGGTTACTTCTGCTGGAAGAGTTGAATAGCTGTGACAGAGACAATATTGCCTACAAAGCCCAAAGGATTACTTTCTGTCCCTTTAAAGAAATTATTTGCAAACACTTGATTCAGGAGAAGAGGCTTAAATAGGGCTGGGCAAATGCTAGGAGACAAAGTGGGAAATTCACTACAAAAATCCAGGCATGGGGTGTTGGGGGCTTGAACCAAAATGGATATATGAGAAATGGTTGTATATTATGAGGGCTGGGTCTTGCCCATGACCTGCGCGGGCTATGAATTTTCGGTTTCCCTTGTGTGACATGTACTGGCTGAGAAATATGGCGAAAAATCACACAACAAAGAAGTAATTTTGAAAAGTGAAAATGGAACGGCTCTATGACCTTAGGGGTCCTGCTTCCACAGTGGAAGGAGAGAGAGAAGAGCCCACGTTTGCTTTATTTATACAAGGGGGCTTCAGAGGATTTTCATGGAATGTTCTTTTGCCAAATAAGGTAGGAGGAGGGCTGTCCAAGCTCAATGGGTAATGCCCCAGTCAGGAGCTACAGAGCAACCTCTCTAGCTGACTAAAGACTGAGGTCACCTCGTGCTTTGAGTAATCCATTAAGTGGGAGAAGCCACAAAATGACTTGCAATGTCAGAATTGCAAGGCTGAGGAAAAGCTTTTCAAATAGCTCAGGGGTGGCCCCCCACAGTAGGGGATATGGGCTCAGTGGTGAAGTGCTTGCCTGGCATGCACAAAGCCCTGGGTTTGATTCCCAGCACCACATGATGGGGAAACAAAAAGAAGGAAAGAAAAAAAAATGATTATGTTCTCAGCCCTAGCCTAGGATGGAAGTGTATCCCTGTATACACCAGAGGCTAAACAGGAGTATCACAAGTTCAAGGCCAGCATGGATATTTAGAGAGACCCTGTCTCAAAATAAAAAATAAAAAAGACTGGGGTTGTAGCTCTGTGGTAGGAAGTACCTGGTACCCTAATACCATGAAGAAAAGAAAGACCAAGAGAAAGAAAAAAAGAAAAGAAAGGGAGGGAAAACAGAAAAAAGAATCTAATCTTGAATACATACTAAGTACATTCCACCATGCCAAGTTCCACAGGACAGTGGTTCCCTGACTTGGATTTCATAGAAAAGTTAAAACATTTTTTTATGAATAAGAGAGGTTTGAGGAGACTAAAATAGATTTTCCAAGTTTTATTTTATTGAATAAGGATATGAAGGAAACTGACCTCTACTATTACCAACCTTTCCTGAAAGAACACCAAAAAAGATAAGAAACACATAATCTAAAATTTAAGAAATACCACAAGATTAAGAATACACATTATGGAAAATTCACAGAAATCCTGTAGGTTACAAATGTTCCTTTGGAAAAGACTGCTCTAGGAATACTAAGATAACTAATAATGGATCATGTTCTAAAGAAAATTAAAAATTGTATACATTACTAAGGCCAGGTCCAGTAAATGAATTATAATATGTGCAAAAATATAAAGTATGGTAAAAGAGAAGTCAGCAGACAACTCACTTCCAGCAAGGAGAGCCCAAGATGGCCTCACAGAGTAAGAAATATCTGAACTCAGCCTATGAGTATGATAAGGAGAATTTGGAATTAAGGAGATGAAGAGGTGCAGAATCAAAAAAGAAATGGAGGCAGAAAAGTGTTGGGTAGAAAAGAAGACACTTGACAAGAAACTTTTCTCTTTCCTTTTAAAAGGGCACAAGAGCCAGCACAATGGCACAGGCCTGTAATCCCTAGAGACTGAGGAAGCTGAGGCAGGAGTATTGAAAGTTTGAGGCCAGCCTCAGCAACTTAGCCAGACCCTGCTCAAAAAGAAGAAGAAGAGGAAGCAGCAGCAGTAGCAACAGAAGCAGCAGCAGCAAGAAGAAAAAGGAGGAGGAGGAGGAGGAGGAGGAGGAAAATAAGAAGAAGCAAGCATAATTTTTTTAAAAAACATTTTTAAGTTGGGGTTGTATCTCAGTGATAGAGTGCTTGCCTAGCATGTATAAGACTTCCTCTTCCTCCTCTTCCTCTTCCTCCTCCAGGGATTGAACCCAGGGGCCCTTAACCACTGAGCCACATCCCCAGACCTTTTATTGAGACAGAGTTTTACTAAATTGCTCAGGGTCTTGTTAAATTGCTGAGGCTAGCTTTGAACTTGTGATCTTCCAGTCTCAGACTTCCAAGTCGCTAGGATTATAGGCCTACGCTACCATGCCCAGCAAGAATATTTTAAAAGTGTTTTTATTAGTACATTATATTTTTTATAATTGTGGGGTTTATTTTGACATATTCATAAATGCATATAACGTAACTTGCTTCTTTTCAATTCTCAGTATTATTTCCTTACCTCTACTCTATTGATCTTTTTTTTTAATAATTTATTTTTTTAAATTTGTGTTTGCTTTTTAATGTATAACTAATGCTCTAATTGGTGCATTAGTTATACATGAAAGTGGAATTCATTGTGATATATTCATATGTGCACATACCGTGATTTGGTCAATTTCTTTCCACAGACTGATCTTTAAATGATTCTAGGGCTATCTCCAGAATCTCAATTCTTAGCCAAGCTGAGCAGTTGTTAGCATGGCCAAACACTAAGGACTGAAACATAAATAGATTCCTTCCTACTCTGTCTCAAGACATGCCTCTCAGATACAAAGGAAAGATTTTAGCTTCCTAAGTGCCCTAAAAATTATGTCTTCAATTCAATTGGGATGACAGTTAAATGTTATGCCATAACCTAGATTATTTCATGAGACATATTTTGGGGAAACACCAGCCTCACCCTGAAGGATTAGTCTCTGCTTAAGAAGCAGCATGCTACTGTGAATGGTACTACAAATGCAAGCTGGGCTTTGACTTCTATTATCTGCACTAGCTAGGTGGCCTCAGACAAGTTTCTTAACCTCTTTCATCCCTAGTTTCTTGGCTTTGAGGCTAACTATGCCTACTTCACAGGTTTTCTGTGAAGATGAGTAATAATGAACATAAATGCCCAGTTCATCGTGGGGGTTCAAAAGGTAGTAAGCATTATTATCCCTGGTATGAAGTTTTAGACATTTTGCAATTGCAATTGGTTAGGAAGGGGCTCCGGGATTATTGGTAAAGACCCAATGAAAGCCTAAGGTTATCTTTTATGTAGTAATGAAAAGGAAGGAAAAGATGCTTTTGCAAGATCATGACTTAGTAGCACTTCTAAACTTCCCCATCTTTTCTTCTCCTGCATGTGCGTTTTCTGCTTGCAGTGGAACCAGAAGTCAAGTATGTTGGGAACATGCATGGTGACGAGGTGCTGGGCCGGGAGCTGCTGCTGCAGCTGTCCGAGTTCTTGTGTGAAGAATTCCAGAACCAGAACCAGCGCATCATGCGGCTCATCCAGGAAACGCGCATTCACATCCTGCCCTCCATGAACCCGGATGGCTACGAAGCGGCGGCCACACAGGTAGAAGCCCAAAGGAAATACCAGGGAGAGACTAAAGCCATATTAGGACAGAAAGTATAACACAGAGCATGGATAGATGGGTTCTTTGTTTCCAAATTCAAAGAATGAAATCCATGGACGCAAGAGTGAGAGCAAAGTAACAGGATTTATTAGCATAATAGAAAGAAAGCAGAGCTCCCAAATAGGGAAGGGTCCTGAGAGGGATGCCAAGGGGTTATCTGCTGTCTAAGGGTTTTTAAAGGTATATCTGATGACCCAGTACAGATAATTTTGGGGGTGAGGGATGGACCAATCAAGCTCTTCAAGCTCCCAGTTTAGTAAGCCAATCAGAAGTGCCTAAGTTTAATCCCTTATTTACATAATTAAGAGGTCAGGTCCAACCTTGTGATTTGACATGTCTATCGGGAAGGGGAATTTCTTCAAGCAAGGTTAGATCTGGTAGTGGGCTGCGGCTATAGCCAAGGAAGAGCCATGTGGTTGAAGCTGTCAGCAGCAGAGACAGGATATGCTAACTAAGGAGGAGCTGTTGCAGTTGAAGCTGTCAGAGACAATGCCAGGATATTCTCCAGGCCCGATGTCTCCTTCTAGCATGGCATGGTCTCATTCCCCCTTTTCCCTTCTCTGAGGCTGTATCCTGTCTGCCTGTGGGAGGTCTACCTTCTTGCCCATTCCCTCAAAACTAAATGCCAACAGACAATGTATTCCAGTAAAAGAAATAAAGGATAACCCTAGGAGCGATGGCACTCGCCTGTAATCCCAGTTTCTTGGGAGGCTGAGGCAGGAGGATCACAAAGGTTACCCTCCACAACTTAGCTAAACCCTGTTTCAAAAAAAAATTTTTTTAAAGTAAAGAGAGAGAGAGAGAATTTTTAAAATATTTATTTATTTATTTATTTATTTTAGTTTTCGGTGGACACAACATCTTTATTTTATTTTTATGTGGTGCTGAGGATCAAACCCAGCGCCCCACGCATGCCAGGCGAGCGCGTTACCACTTGAGCCACATCCCCAGCCCAAAATTTTAAAAAATTAGAAGTCTGGGGATATAGCTCAATGAGGAAGCACTCCTGAGTTCAGTCCCCCATACCAAAATAAATAAATAATAAATAAAATAAATAATTAAAAATAAAATAATAAAATAAATAATAAAAGATAAAATGGCTGAGAAAAAAAGCAACAGAAAATAAAATAGAACTATAATAAAGACTTTGGTCCTGTCTAAATGTAGCACATTAGGCAATAACTGTGGGCTCTCTGAGCTTCAGTTGCTTCTATACCTGTCCAGTTGACCTCAAGGTTTATTGTGAGAATCAATGAGGCAATGTCCATGACAACACTTTGTAAACTGAAAAATACTATGCAGAAGTGAAGTGATATTGCAAAATACACCTCTTTCCCTGAACTTTTGGCTTCTGATTGTAAATATTGTTCACCCTCCCACCTTACATGCCTATTTGAGGGGTTTTTGTGTTTTTTGTGGAAGCAGGGATTGAACCCAGAGGTACTCAACCACCCAGCCACACCCCCAGCCCTTTTAAAAAAATTGACACAGGTTCTGCTAAGTTTCTGGTTCTGGCCTTGAACTTTCAATCCTCCTGCCTTAGCTTCCTGAGTAGTTTAAATCTACATGGGAATATGGTTAAAGATTGAGTAGAGTGGGGTTGTTGGGGGCTGGGGGTGGGGGCAAAAATCATCTATGGTTGAGAACCATAGAAGTACTCTCAAAACTTCTGGGAAAGGTCTATGATTTTTCTTCTGGTTTGTTCTATGCAATTTTAGTAGGTATATCTGTAAATGTTTTATTAAAAAAAAAAAAAAAAAGATTGAGTAGAGGCAGACAGGGGAATGGAACCAGAATGTTGAGCCAGTTATGCTGCTGGCTTTGAAAATGGAAGAAGGAACCATAAACTCAGGAATGTGGATGGCCTCTAGAAGGTGGAAACATCAGAAAACAGATACCCCTAGAGCCCTCAGAAGAAATTCAACACTGCTGACACCTAGCATTTATTTCAGTTTTCTGACTTCCAGACTGTTAGGGGAAGCCCTTTGCCATGCTGTTTTTCCTTCCTTCCTTCCTTCTTTCCTTCCTTCCTTCCTTTTTTTTTTTTTTTTCTTTTTCTTTTTTTAGTGCTGGGGATGGAAACCAGGGCCTCATGAATACCAGGTAAGCCCTGTATCACCAAGCCACACACTCAGCCCCTCTTCTTGTCATCTTAACTAATAACCAGTCTGGGTAGCAAATCAACTGATCAAGGCTTAATGCTAACGATTAAGAACTACATTGATAAGAATGAGCAAGCAGTGAAAAAAACCCTGGAAGCAAAAAGAAAATCATTGTATCATAGAAGTGTGCACCACTGAAAAATCAGATAAATGTTTCCATTGGAACAGAATTGCTACAGAAAACTTAAGAGAATTTTTTTAAAGTTATGTGTTGAATGGTGATCTAAGAATAAAATATAAGCAGGATATTATGAAAATATAAAAATAAAGATCTCTTAGAGAAAATTCAAGAGGTAGTACATCTGTGACTTACTTTTCAGCTGTCCAACATCATTCATTCACCCCACTTTGGGAAACAACCAACAATTTGGGCTCTATCCTCTCAGTCCACAGGGCTGTCAGGGACACTAATCCCTTTCTCCAATGCCACACAAAACATTGAATGGAATTTCAGTTTTTAACAGGCATCTTAACATATCTCTGTTATACCACTTTTTATATTTAATTATTTGTGTATATATATCTACCTTATGTACACTATGAATTAGTAGAATAATGCCTCACTTACTCCTTTCCCTAATGTCTGTCAGACCTTTGAATGGAAACTTAAGTAAATTTGAGTTGACTAACTGGATGACTGAATAAATGAATGAATCCATGAGCAAATAAAAATAAAGTGTGAAGTATGAGAAGAGAAAGGAAGTTGATAATGCTCAAAAGAAAATAAGAAAGAACTTATATTTTTCAAAAAGCAAGAGAGTGGATTTCCATGGTAAAACCACTTTGGAAAACAGCTCATCAGCTTTTCAAAAAGTTCAGTCCCTGTTACCAAAAAAAAAGTGACCTTACATCAACGGATACCAACAGGTCTACTCCTAGGTATCTACCAAAGGAAAAGAAAATACACATTCATACATAGACTTGTACATAAATGTTCATAGCAGCATTGTCCACACCAGCCAAAAAAGCAGAAACAACCCAATGTCCATGTACTGTGTTGAGTAGTATCACTGTCCTTAATTTTGTGTTCACTTAGTACCTGTGAAAGTGATCTTGTTTGGAAATAGTCTTTGCAGATATAATTAAGTTCAGATGAGGTCATACTGGATTAGGGTGAATTCTAAATCCAAAATGATTACTGTCCTTATAATAAGAAAGAAGTGTCTAAATAGAGACACAGACACACTAGAGAGAAATCCAGGTAAAGATGGAAGCAGAAATTAGAGTGGGCCATGGTGGTACATCTCTGTAATCCCAGCAGAAGACTAAAGAAGGAGGATCAGAATTTCAAGGCCAGCTTCAGCAACTTAGCGAAGCCCTAAGCAGCTTTGTGAGACCCTGTTTGTAAATAAAATATAACAAGGACTGAGGATATGGCTTAGTGGTTAAGCACCACTTGGTTCAGTCCCTGTTACCAAAAAAAAAAAAGAAAGATAGAAAAGAAAAAAAATTAGAGGGATGCATTCACAAACCAAAGATTACCACCAACCTCCAGAAGGTAGAAGAGACAAAGAGAGAAACTTCAGAAAGCTGAGCCTGCTGGCACCTGGATTTCAAACTTTGAGCTTCCAAAAGTGTGAGACAACAAATGTCTGTTATTAGAAGACTCCCGTTTTGTGGTAACTTGTTACAGAAGCTCTAGGAAACTAATGCAGTCCCTCATCTGGTAAATGGATGAACAAAATGTGATATATCCATTTGATAGAGTTATTCAGCAACAGCAACAACAATGAGGCTCATCAACAAATGAACGAGCCTCTAAAAATATTATGTGCAGTCAGGGAAAAAAATCACAGAATATACAATGCATGATCCTACTTTTATGACATGTCTAGAGAATGTGAATCTGTGGAGAAAGAGCGATGACCTTGGGCTGGTGGGAAAATGAGGACTGACTATAATAAAAAAGTTTCTCAGGCTGAGGTTGTGGCTCAGTGGTAGAGCGCTTGCCTAGCATGGTTGAGACCCTGGGTTCGATTCTCAACACCACATATAAATTAATAAATAAATAAAGGTCCATCAACAACTAAAAAAAAAATTTCTTTTTAAATGTTTCTCTTTAGAATGATAGAAATGTTCTGAAATCAGATTATGATGATGGCAGTACAACTCTATAAGCATATCAAATTCATTGACTTGTACACTAAAAACAAGTAAATTTTATGGTATGTAAATTATATCTCAAGATCTTTTTTAAAAAAAAAACAAGAGCTCCCATGATTCTGAAATACTTTCCTGTTGTTACAGCTTCTCCTGGGATCTCTATCTGCAGTACATGTTTTACAGGGAAACTTCAACCACACCATTGGGATTTTGGAGAGGTTAAAGAAGAAAGTGCTACATTATTTGATAGAGGCAGTTAATATCATAAAAGAGCTATACAGTGTTCTTAAAATATAGGATTCAGTCTGAAACTTACATTTTTCATCTCTTCATTTTTTCTCTAGGGCCCAAACATGCCTGAGTATCTCGTTGGCAGAAATAATGCCAATAAAGTAGACCTGAACCGTAACTTCCCTGATCTCAATATCTATTTCTACTACAATGAGAAGCATGGAGGACCCAACCATCACTTGCCTCTTCCAGACAACTGGGAAAGTCAGGTAGGAGATAAAATTTGCAAACAGAAGCAAAAAAAATCAGCATCTGGAATTTCTTGCAAAAGGATTGTTAAGCAATCTTCATATTAACAAGCAAGAATTAAGCATCTCTTCAACTTCATGTAAATTTGTCTAGAGGAATAATAATTTTATCTTATGCTTCTTTGTATTTGTTCTCTCCCCAAGTAGAGCTCTCCAGGGAGCATAAATATTTGATGATAGTAGTGATGGGGGTGGAGGAGGTGAAAGCAGTATCCTGTAGTTGCAGGGTACTTAATCATTTCACAAAGTCCTGTCATAGCCAGTGTTTCAGTTGATCGTTAGTGTGGTGAATTCATTGAGCAGTGTCATCCATCTCTGTTTCTTTTGTTAATATTTATTTTTTAGTTGTAATTGGACACAATACCTTTATTTTGTTTTTTTATTTTTATGTGGTGCTAAGGATCAAACCCAGGACCTTGCACATGCTAGGCAAGTGCTCTACCACTGAGCCACAACCCCAGCCCCCCAATCTCTGTTTTATAGATATTATACTTACAGATAAAATAGTTCAGGTGAGCATGGTAGCAACTTGGGAGCCTGAGACAGGAAGATCACAAGTTTGAGGCCAGCTTGGCCTATTTAGTGAGACTCTGTCTCAAAATAAAATAATAAGGGCTGGGGAATGTAGCTCAGTGGTAGAGTACCGCAGGGTTCAATCCCTAATACTGCTACTACTAAGAATAATGATTTAAATCTGCACAGCTAATAAGTGATTGGAATCAGGATCAAAACTCAGGCCTTCTGACTCTTAACCCAGCATTCTTTCTATTGCACTAAACTATTGACAGAGAATTCTAGCATTCACTTCTCAAGATTTCTCAGATCTCTCCTACTTATGGTGAACTGTGTATTTGTCAGCAATTAGTTCCAGAAAGAGATTTAGGAAGTCTGACCCTTGTGGGTTTTCCTCTTCCCTTTGTATGTGTGACCTTAACATTTTACCTTATTCTCCCTCATTTCCCTTCTGTCTCAATAGGAGATGCCAATCCATGCTCCTAAGCCTCACTCTCCAGGAGGCCTATAATGTGACCCTGGAAATATGAAGTTTCACTCTGCTAGTGGGCCTGCTCCTACAAATAGCTACAGTCATCTCTGGAGCATCATTGTCATCCCTGGTTTTTATATTGTAGGGTATAGTTCTAAATGTTTTATTTGTGAATATCTAAACTTAGAAACTGGGTGGAGAAAAATAAATCAGGCATAGGCCTTTATTCTGGGAATTTCCCGGATGGAATATTCTTAGATATTTTTTTCTCTTTGAATAGGAAGTAAAAGTCATGCTTATTAAGTGTGTGATAGCAACTATCCTTTGGCTCAAGTAAAACATGAAAAATAACTTTGTACTAGTCAGACTATCTAGCCAAAAGAATGTTCTTATTTGTTAAACTTGTTTCTCTTAGTAAAGTAAGGTGATTGATTCAGTAATAATTAGGGTCCCACTTAGTCCTCTATCTAAATCTTAAAAGGAAAAAAGACAATGAGAAGTCTCTCTTGCTCCTGATGGAGTAGACTTAAGAAAGAAGAGCAGTGAGGAGCTAGCCTTGTTCTGATAGGGCTTCAGACTTGAAGAAAGGACTGCTTCAAATCCTCTGAGCCTCATCAAAGACCAGAACTGGAACCCTTGGTACTATAGCCATGCTTCCCTTAATGACATTTTGGTAAATGATGGGTGGAATATATAGTAGTGGTCCCATAAGATTCTATCCCCTGTGATGTTGTAGCCATTGTCGTTTGTGTAAGTACACTCCAGATGTTTGCACAAAGACAAAATCATCTAACAGTACATTTCTCAGAATGTAGCCTCATCATTAAGCCTCACACAACTCTATATGCATTCTGATTGTGTGAACTCAACACTATTCATTCAGTCCCCCTGGGATGGAAAAATGGGTCCTTCAGAGCTTACCCCTGGTCCAGGAGGAGTAATTAACACATTAACATCTCATAATCTCTAAGCACATCTACCCTGAGAGGAGGAAAAAAATTGAGGACTATAAATTGTTTATTTATAATACTGTACTCTACTACTATACTAGGCTAGTCCAAGTGGATTCAAGGCTTTGCTTAAAATACTGTCACTCACTAGCAATATAACGCACTATAAAGGGTACAGTTACACTACTTGTCCAAGGGATAGTGTATCTAATTCATGACATTTGGATACAACTAGAGGAGCATGTTCCACATGTCAACATTACAGCACATGTGTTGGGAGAAGGAGGAGGCTGAAAACCTATTATTGTGATCCAGTGTTTTCCAGATTTATTTTCTAAAGCCCCAAATTCCTGTCTTAGAAGCCACAGGACAATGAGTAAATAAGAAGCCCTTTCCTAGGGTCCAGATAGAGGCTCAGCTGGAGCTCTGAACTTTCTAATTATGATAGCCCTCTTCAAACAGATCTCTCTCTCTCTCTCTCTCTCTCTCTCTCTCTCTCTCTCTCTCTCTCTCTCTCTGTCTCTCTCTCTCTCTCTCTCTTTCTCTCTCTTCCCCCTCTCCCTCCCTCTTTCTCTTTCTAGCTTATTTTCTCAGGGTAATTTTAGATTCACAGCCAAAAGTACAGAGTCCCCACATACATCCTGTCCCCCTATTCCCTACCCCACCATCACCCACCTGAGTATACATTGGTTAGTCACTGAACCTGCACTACTCACCACTAACACTCAAAGTCCATAGTTTACATTAGTGCTTATTCTTTTTTTAATATTTATTTTTTGGTGTAGATGGACACAACACAATGCCTTTATTTTTATGTGGTGCTGAGGATCAAACCCGGGTCCCGCCCGTGCAAGGGGAGCGCTCTACCGCTGAGCCCACAATCCCAGCCCTAGTGCTTATTCTTGATGTTATCAATTCTATGGTTTTTGGCAAATGTATGATAATATGAATCCACCATTATGGTGTCATACAGCATTGTTCCACTGCCCCAAATATTCTCCTTGTACCTGTTTAGTATATTACAATTCACGTAAAATTTCCTTCTGAAAAAACCTTCCATACACTTAATTTTGGAAACTGTCATTCCAGAGGTCAGAATCCAGAGGAGGGAATAACTTCTCTGTGTTATTCAGACACACTCTCTCCCCAGGCCACTTCCTCACAGTGACTTCCATGGCCTTTCCTTTGCTGCTAGCCTTTCTTATCTACTTACAGGTGGAGCCCGAGACTAAGGCTGTGATCCACTGGATGCGCTCCTTCAACTTTGTTCTTTCAGCCAATCTCCATGGAGGGGCAGTGGTGGCCAATTATCCATATGATAAGTCTCCTGGGCATCGGTTCCGAAATCCCTACCGCACTACCAATTCCCCTACACCTGACGACAAGCTGTTCCGGAAGGTATGCAGAAGGGCATTGTCCTGGCCAGGGGAACATGGGGCTCAATAGACCTGTGTCAAATCAGGAACAAGTCCATAAAAAATAACAGAAAACACTGCCTGCTTGTGAACCACTTAGTCTGGTAAATTACATTTAGGTTTGCATGATGAGCCATAAATTCATGAAAAAGTAATTTAAAAGAAAAGCTTTATACTATAATTACCATGATGTAAAAAATGCAGATATAATTTGATTCAAATGTATGAAATGTCAAGATCATTGTACTGTCATGTGTAACTAATAAAAAAAAAAATAACAAAAAAAAATATGCCAAAAGACTGGTGGTAAGTTAGTGACATTAAACATGAATTTTAGGATTTCTAATTTATAATTTTATGATAATATATCTGTGTTAATGAAGACTACGCACATGAAACAGGCTTAATTAATAATTCAAGTATTAATGTATGCTAATATATACATTACAATTTATATAAATATATTTAATAATATAATAAATTTAATATTTTATAATAAAATGTATTGGCTAAATTATAAAATATGTTAACATATAATTATATATTGATATATAAATAATAATAACAATGTAATTCCTCAACTAATGAATTACAATAGCAAAAAACACCAATTATTCCTTTTCTCCAATAATCTCATTTTGTCCACTCTTATAATTAAAAAAAAAAGGATTATAGAGAAAGACTGCATATGTTTCTTTTCTTCCAAAATAATATATCTCTCATTTGCCAATACATATTACTTTTCCTGTTTTTTTTTTTTTTTTTTTTTTTTTGCTCCTTGATTTTGGCTAGAGAATGATACAATTGGAAGGGACCTGCACCATCTAGTGCTACCCCTCCTTTTGCACATGAAGAAACTTGACCCCAAGAGAGTGGAAAATCAGAATACAGATCTCTTAATCCTAGTCTGCTTCACACTCCACACACACACACACACACACACACGCTTACATTCACTCTCATACCCACCCTTGTACATACTCACATACACTCCATCTCTCTCCTGTTCATATTTTCTTGACTGAAGCATATATTCAGTTGCCTAATAGGACTTCATGGCACCACTCTAATTCTGAGCATGAACATTGCCATATGAGATCATTTTCTGCATACTTTTCCTGTAGCTGGCCAAGGTCTACTCCTACGCACACGGGTGGATGCACCAAGGTTGGAACTGTGGGGATTACTTCCCAGATGGCATCACCAATGGGGCTTCCTGGTATTCTCTCAGCAAGGGTAAGGAGAGTCCTGGACACTGCTCAAGCTGAAGTAGTGTAGTGCCCACTTCTGAATGACTAGTTTTTTTCAAGGAAACAATAGGGACACTATGGAATTTTGCACTCCAGTAAACATCTGAAAAATGAAGAAGTCTAAGATTGGCATTTAGTGTCATCTTTAAAACTAAGGTAGGAACACCTGTGGTCCTGTAAAACTGGTAGTTTACACAATAGACTAAAGCATAGGAAGAAAATAATGGGGCCAAGTGATGAAGTGTGTCTCTGAGAATAAACTGGTTGAAACCCAGCTTTCCCACTTACCAGTCATGTTGTTTCAGGCTACTTACTTAACCTCTCTGTGCTTTGTTTACTGATCTGTAATTAAGACTAAGAAGGCTGGGGATGTAGCTCAGTGGTAGAGTGCTTGTCTAGCATGTGTGATGCCCTCAGTTCAATCCCAAGCATGGCCTCTCCTCAAAAGAAGAAAAATACTAGCCTCATGATTTTGATGCTTTAGATAAAATAACAGACATGAAACATTTAGAAATGTCTGGCTTATGAATGTTTTTAAAAGTAGTACAGAGAATGCCTCACATGGCAACAGGTGAGCAGAGGAACTGGCCTAGAAAACACCAGTTGCCCTGAGTTCTGCTCTCCACCCTGACTGCCTGCCTCCCGTATGCAGGAATTTGCCATAGGCATTGACCATTAATTCTATAGCCTCAAACAGAAGTAAACTTCTCCATTCTCTATTGTGTGGACCTTGCCCATGTTTGAGGGTCAACATGAACCTTTGATTATGAACCTCTGGCAGATAGGCAGTCTATGGATAGGGAATAGGCCAAAAGAGGAAGCTGGGTTCTTTCAGGAATCACTTTTAGCATTTGTTTTTCCCCATCCTCTCAAGTCTGAGCTGGCTACAGCATTGGTGAGGGCTGAGTTGATGGTGGAGTGAGATAGAGAAAGGTTAAGGAGTTGCCATGTACTGAGAGGGAAACTTGTGGCTGTAAACTCACTGAACACAAGGCAAGTAGATTTTGTGAAACTCTGATTTCTTTAGTTTATATTAGAGAAGCAATAGATGTCACCCCCCATGATTAAAAATATCAAATATGCTTTTTAAAATTAGACTTGTTCCTTGTTTCCTCGCTTCCCTTCTCCCTCCTCATCCTCTAAGAAAGTATGGCCCGTGCCTCCTCTGAGAATCCTTGTCCTAAATTAAGCTGGTACATTCCAAGATGATTAAACTAATCAAAATGGTTGTTTTGACAGTGTGGTCTCTGGTTCTGCATAGCTGGCATCACTGGGGACTTGTGAGAAATATGAATTTTGAAGCCCAAACCTAGACCCACTGAATCAGAAACTCTGGGTGTAAGGCCTAGCAGTCTGTATTTAGCCGGAAGTGCCAGCTTGCCAGGGATTCTAATGCATGGAGAGAATCATGGGTTATAGTTATTGTTGTCCAGCTTCCCCATTCTTTCTGTAATGGCTGTTTGCATTCATTAGCTTAAAGAGCAAGTGAAAGTTGATTAAATGGATACTTAGTTTTCAATTTTCATTGTGGTAAAATACACATAATATAAAACCTACTGTCTTTTCTATTTTTACGTGTATAGTTAGTTCAGTGTTATTAAATACATTCATAAAGTTGTGCAACCAGCAACATCGCTCACCTCCAGAATACTTTTTATCTTGCCTCAAGCCCCTGGAAGCCACCATTGTACTTTTTGTCTCTATGATTTTAACTACTCTGTATACCTGATGTAAGTGGAATCATGCAGTATTTGCCTTTTTGCAACTGGCTATTTGACTTAGCATAATGAGCCTAAGGTTTATCCATGTAGCAACATGTGTCAGAATATCCTTCCTTGTTAAGGCTGAATAATATTCCATTATATGTATACACCACATTCTATTTGTATATTCAGCCATTGATGGACACTTGAGTGCTTTTGAATACTGTAAATAATGTTGCTGTGGACATGGGTGTACAAATATCTATTTGAGACCCTGCTTTCATTGCTTTGGGGTATATATCCCAAAGTGGAATTGCTCAGTCCCATGGTAATTCTGTTTTTTTTTTTCTTTTTTACTTTTTTGAGGAACTACCATACTGTTTTCCATAGGAGTGCTACTATTTTAGATTTTTTTTACAAAATGCACATAAGTTCTAATTTCTTCACATCCTTGCCAACACTTAATAATTTCCATTTTTCTCTTTTTATAGTAGCCATCCTAACAAGTGCATGGTGGGATCTCATGGTAGTTTGAGTTGCATTTTCCTGCTGATTAGTGATATTAAACATTATTTTATGTGCTTATTGACTATTTGTTTATCTTTGAAGAAATGTCTATTTAAGTCTTTGCCCACTGTTTAATCCTGTTGTTTGGTTTTTTTGTTGTTGAGTTTTAGGAATTCTATATACATTCTGGACATTGAGGTCTTATTGGATACATGACTTAGAAATATTTTCATCTATCCCATAGTTGCCATTTTACCCTATTGACATTATCTTTTGATGCATAAGTCCTCAATTTCCATGAATTCATATTTGCTTATTGTTTCTTTTGTTGCCTGTGCCTCTGATGTCAGATCCTACAAGTCATCACCAATCCAGTGTCATGAAGCTTTTTGCCTATGTTTTCTCCTAAGAGTTTTGTAGTTTCGGGATCGTACATTGATGTCTCTGATCCGTTTTGAATTAATTTTTTACATGGTGTTAGATAAGGACCCAACTTCATGTATTTGCATGTAGATATCCAGTTCTTGAGCACCCACTTGCTAAAGATTGTCCTTTCCCCTGGAATGGTCTTGGCACCCTTGTCAAAAATCATTTGATCAATAAACAAATAAACAAAAAAATCATTTGACCATATGTGCAGAATTTCTGGGCCCTCTCTTCTATCCATTGCTCTGTTGGTCTGTCTTTATGGCAGTACTACATTGCAGTACTGTCAATTTGTATTAAGTTTTAAATTCAGGCAGGGAGTCCTGTAGCTTTGTTCTTTTTCAAGGTGGTTTTAGCTGTTCGGGGTCCTTTGAGATTCCATATGAATTTTTGGATAGGCTCTTCTATTTCTGAAAAGAAAAAGGAATTGTGTAGATCACTTTGTATAGTATGGACATCTTTACATAATTTTTAACCCAAGTGAATTTGCCATAAGTACTATCCTAATAATCAGAAACATACTAAAAATAATTTATTCCATTGAATAATTGAATGACATAGATCAGAGCAGACATTTGGTGGAGGAAAAATATACAGCTATCTTCTGCTTTTTCATGAGTCAGTTTGTCTAGGAGAATTATTTTCAGATCAGCATTTTCTCAGTTAGGGTGAGGGATGTGAAAACAAAATATTCATCTTATTTTTAACCTCCCAGGTCTGAAAAACATTGTAATTTAAAAAGAAAAATCTCCCAAAAGCAATACATAACGCATGTTCTAATAATAAGGCACAGTTAATCATCAGGCTTTGGAAATGATAAGATAGACGAGAAGTGAAATTAAATCCTGAAATGGGAAAAATGGAGAGGAAGCAGATGACAAAATGAGCATTCATGAAGAGAGGAAATGGGAAAGAGAGAAAGGCATGTGAACTGGAAACTTGGAGAAAGCTTTTTTTCGTACCAGGGATTGAATCCAACGGACTTAACCACGGAGCCACATCCCCAGCCCTTTTTATTTTTTATTTTTAGAAAGGGTCTCACCAAGTTGCTTAGGGTCTCATTAAGTTGCTGAGGCTAGCCTTAAACTTGAAGTCTTCCTGCCTCAGCCTCCTGAGCTGCTGGGATTACAGGCATGCACCACTGTGCCAGCTAGGGGAAAGGTTTTATGGGAGAGAAAAGTAAACAGAGATCAAGAGGTAGAATAGAAGGTGGGGAGGGTGATGGTGTGGAGAAATTGTGATTAACAAGAGATGAGGTGGGGGGTTGGGTGGGAACCTAGTTGTACAAATCTGCAATTACCCTCTTTCCCTTAGGAATGCAAGACTTTAATTATCTCCATACCAACTGCTTTGAGATCACTCTGGAACTCAGTTGCAACAAGTTTCCCCGTCAAGAGGAATTACAGCGGGAGTGGCTAGGTAATCGGGAAGCCCTAATCCAATTCTTAGAACAGGTAAGATGTCATTTTTCACCAGAGGGAGGGAATGGAAGGAGGGAGGGAGGGAAGGAGAGAGAGAGGGATGTGGGTGTTCCCCAGTGACAGGCTCCATTTTTGAGTTAGCAAGATCTGACTTTTCCAGTCACTCAGTGCAGTAGATTTTGGTTGCCCTTCCCAGTGAGATTCATTCATTCAACATGACAGAGCACTATGATCTGCCAGAAACTTAAGAGCTTGGTATTATTAATAAACAAATACACAAACAAATATCCCTGCCAATATAGAATTGAATTCTAGAGAGGACAGACAATAAGTAAAATAAGAAAGTAAATTTTAGAACATGTTAAAGAGAGATGCTATAAAGAGAGCCTTCTAGGGAAGGTGACTTTTAAACAGAGATTTCAAAGAGTTGAGGGAGAGAATCATGCAGATATTCAGGGCCAAAAAGGGGTTTCCTAAATGAACACAAAACAATCATAAAACCAAAGACAAACCAAAAAATGTTCAACATCACTAATCATCGGGGAAATGTAAATCAATATCAAATGAGATACCCCTTATACCCATAAGAACTTTATTTTTCTTTTGCAACACTAGGGATTGAGCACAATGAAAAGTAATTTAGCCCTGTATGTACCACAGGGCTACATACCCAATCCTTTTTATTTTTTTATTTCGAGACATAATCTTGCTAAATTGGCCAGGCTGGCCTCAAGCTTGGGATCCTCCTGCTTCAGACTCCTCCTGAGTCACTGGGATTACAGGTATGCACCACTGTACCTGGCTCTGCATACCAATTGGGATGGCACCTACCAGAAAAGAAAAAAAATGGCATATCTCTAATCCCAACAACTGTGGAGGCTGGGGTAGAAGAATTGCAAGTTCAACGACAACATTGGCAACTTAGAGAGACCCTGTCTTTTTTTTTTTTCTGTTTAGAGATACATGACAGTAGAATGTATTTTGATATATTATACATACATGGAGAGAGACCCTGTTTTGATAAAAAATAAAAAGGGCTCAGGGTGCAGGCCAGTGGTAGAGCTCTCCTGGGTTCAACCCCCAGTACCAGACACACACTAAAAAAGTGTTAGAGAGGATGTGAAGAAAATGGAATCCTTGCACACTGTTGTGGGAATGTAAAATGGTTACAGCTACTATGGAAGTTCATCACCAAATTGTAAATAGAATTACCATAGGAGCCAGTAATATTGCTTGTGGATGTATACCAAAGCACTGAAAACAGGGTCTCAAAGAGGAACTTGCACACTCTTGTTCATAGTAGCATTTTTCATAATAGCCAAAAAGTGGAAGCAACTCAAGTGTCCCTTGATAGATGAATGTACAAACAAAATCTGGAGTATATATATAATAGATATTATTTAGCCTTCCTTCAAAATGAAGGAAGTTCTGATACATACTTCATTGTGGGTGAACCTTGAGGACATCGTGTTAAGTGAAAAAGCAAATGTGCCAGGTGTGGTAGTGCACACCTATAATCCTAGTAGCTCAGGAAGCTGGGGAAGGATCACAAGTTCAAGGCCAGCCTCAGCAACTTAGCAAGGCCCTAAGCAACACAGAAAGACCCTGTCTCAAAATAAAAGGAACTTGGGATGTAGGTCACTGGTGCAGCACCCCTGGGTTTAGTCCCAAGCACCTCATCCCTAAATGTACTCATCCCGGCAAATACTGTATGATTCCACATATATCAGATATGTAGAGTGGTCAAAATGTGAAGACAGAAAATAGAATTGTGGTTGCCAGAGCCAGGGAAAGAGGAGGGAATGGAGAGTTTTTATTTAATTAAGTCAGAGTTTCAGTGTTACAAGATGCAGAGAGTTCTAAGGATGAGTGCTGGCACTGGTTGCACATTCTGACTGTGTTTATTAACACTGAAATGGACACTTAAAATGGTTAAGATGATACATTTTATGTCATGTATGTTTTATAACAATTTAAAAATTTTTAGTTAAAAAAATGCAAGGATGGGCTGGGTATGGTGGTGCACATCTGTAATCTCAGCAACTTGGGGGGCTCAGGCAGGAAGATCGAGAGTTCAAAGCCAGCCACAGCAACTTAGCAGGGCCCTAAGCAACTCAGTAAGACACTGTCTCTAATTTAAAATATTAAAAATGGCATGGAATGTGGCTCAGTGGTTTAGTGCCCCTGAGTTCAATTCCTGGTATTCCCCCACCCCAAAAAAATGCAAGTTCAGGATAGCAGTGTGGCTAGCCTCCCAGTGGGTTTCAAGTGTAAAGTAGAGTGTGATAAACAATGAGAGCAGGTGGCCAACAGGGACCACAGCTTTTTAGACCATCCTAAAAACTGTAGCCTATGAGCTGAGTTAGGTTTTGAGTAGAACATGACATGATTTGACTTAGGTTTTAACAGGATCGCTGTGTTCTGTTGAGGAGATTATTGGTGTGGAGGAACAGCAAAGAGACTGGGTTGGGGGCTGTTACCCACTTGGGGAGCTCGAGTGTGAAAGCATATAAGAAAGGGCTTTATACTATAAAAAAACTCCACCAGTTTGAGCATAACTCTGTGCTCTCAACTTTTCCTGCAGGTTCACCAGGGCATCAAGGGAATGGTGCTTGATGAGAATCATCATAATCTCACAGGGGCTGTCATTTCTGTCCATGGGATTAATCATGATGTCACTGCAGGTAGGTGGTCCCTACTTGGGGGTGTCAGGAATACTGGTGGTAGAGGTTAAGAAGAAAGGGTACTAGAAATGGAGAAAGTAAATTAAAAGGCTGGATCAAGCAACCAAGATGTTTATATGGAAAATCTTTTGCTTGTGAAACAAGCAATCCCTGAGAGGCCAGGACCAGGGGGAAAAAATGAAAAGTAATTTCTTGTCAGAGTGGAGGAGTCACTGCCCATATAACCTTGTTATTTCCGGCCTTGAGGCTATAATAGCTTGCAAATTGGTGTGAAAATGGGGTAGAAAAGAAAAGAGAAGGACTGTAATATCTGTTTAGTTTGTCCCTGACTCAAGCATTTCCATATATGTCCACTAAGACAAAAGTTAGCAAGATTGGTTCTGGGCTTGCTGCAGGTCAAGACTGGTAATGGAGAGAGATCTTAGAGCTATCTGAGGCCTCCTTAAAGGGTATAGAATGATATCATGGAAGAATGGTGTTGCAAATGGACCTTGCTCAGATTGATTATGCACAATTTATAAGGTTTTTTTCTTGTTTGTTTTTAAAGGATAGAAGTAGTTACCAATGGTTAAGGGTTGGTAAGATTTGCCTACCTCCCAACAACCTTGAAACCAGCAAGGCTCAGCTCATTTTACCACACAAACATTTATTACCAATCATGCATTTTTATAGTTCATGTAATCTGTTTAAGTTGCATGAAATCTATATTCTTTAAGGTGATCCCAGCATAGCTTCAATCAAAGGTCCATTCAAGACAAAAGCAATATTCTAAAAGCAGAATTCTGAAGCCTCTTGATCAGGCTTCAGACAACTGGAATCTTTCATCCCAATGGCTGGACCCAGGACCATTTATGGATCCAACTTCAGGCACCCTCTCAAGAGCACAGGCTTCAGTACTTGTTAGATTTTTATCCCATATAAGCAAAGGAGAGGAATATCTCTGAAACATTCTAGCCACTGATAGTGATCATCATTCATTCCACCAATAAGTGCCCACTTCCCCACACTCATTGTGCTAATAAATAACATTTCACTGGTAAAAAAAGATCTATTGCTAAAATTCATTATGCTACTTAGCAAACCATATAAAGATAAACATACTTGAATCCCTCTTCCTACCTGCATCTGGAATGGGATCTTTCTGATAAAACATTTGTTATCCACTTCTAAGTATGAACCTCCAATTAAGAAAATGATAGCCCCCAGAGTATAACTCAAACTATCTAATATATGCATAATAATACCCTGCCTTTGCTAAAGTATTTTAAAGTAAATTAAGACATTTACTAGGTAGCAGAAAAAAATAGTTACTCATTATTACCTGTACCATTCTTTATTGCATTTATTATTTCAATTAATCATTGCTGCATACTTTAAAAATTTTATAGGCACCATCATGATTGGCCATAATACTGCATTCCTGCCACAGAAAAACAGGCTTATTTTGAAGGTGATGGAAGAAATTTTAAAATATGATTTTCAAAATCAGAACATTGGCAATCATTTAGTAAGCCTTCCTACTTAATATAAAATTACATGCTCACAGCATCTCTTACCACTGGTTGTCCAAGCCATCAGTGTGAGGGCTATTAGTGCAGATTGTACACAGCTCTACCATGTAGCTTTTCTAGGACGCCCCATTAAACATCTACCTGAGTGTTCCCAAATTTATAAAGCAGTCATTTTTTTTTGATAGCTCTGTTTATTATAATAATTTCTGCTTCTGTTTAGCAACTTAAATCTATAGTTCTCATTCTTGTTTCTTTAGGTAGAGATTATTTCTTCACAGTGACTTTTTGACTTTTCAAATATTAAAAACAGGTCTCAAATAGTTTCCTTAATCAGGCAACATAATAAACATTTTAACCTTTGCTTTCTTCTAGTGACCCTTTACTAGACACAAGTTTGTATTAAAATCCAAGGTCTAGAATGGAAGACAATACTTTCAGTGTGAAGCACAATGGGACATTTTCTTAGGGGCTCCTCCTATTGAGGAGGATCCTTATAATCAATTTAGTGTTTCATCAGTTTCATTCTGCCGATAAGAAAAAACAAGCTGTAGTCAGCTAAAACCTCCAGATCACTCTTCATAACAAAGTACCATTTGGGGCATGCTTTTAATCAGCAGACTGAGTCACATCCTTGTCACTATTAGGTGAACGAGGTGATTACTTCCGGCTACTGCTCCCAGGTACCTACACTGTCACTGCCACAGCACCTGGGTTTGACCCACAGACAGAGAATGTGATCGTGCATCCTGGGAGACCAACGCTGGTGAGTTCCGCTGAGCTTTACAGAACACTACAAATATCATTTATTCCATGTCTTAAACAACTGGTTGCTTTGCTCTAATCTTGTCTGAGCTTCCCTCTTTCACCTTTAAAAAAAGTTCATTGCTCTTCTATCCTAATTTTTCTTGTCCTTCTTCTTTTGTCTCCTTCCCCACTTCCTTTTGGCTTTTTCTTATTCTTCTGTTTAACACAGCATCATGATTAAAAGAACTGTATGTTTTAAATCCATCTTATTTGCCCACAGACCTTGAATAAATTGCCTCTCTCATCCTCATTTTCTTCCTAAGACTAATGGTACCACCTTCACAGGAGGTTCAAAAGAGAAAGAGCACAACTAGCATTTAATATAGTGGTTGACATGACTCAACATGTAAATCCTGGAGCTCCTGCACAGATTCCCTGGCTTCCCCTGATTGCATTCCTTGGTCCATAAGCAAGGAATACCACAGGGTGGCGCTCTGCCAGCCCTTGGGTGTCCTGTTGGCTCACACAGTCTTGATTTCTGCTTGCCTCTGCCAAGAGCCCGCTGCTCTCTAATTAGCTGACTGTAATATTCAATCTCCACTGCTTTCCTTTATGGATAGGATGAGAGGCAAAGAACCTTTTTGATTTACAGTCTGGAACTTTTTTACTTTAGGTCATATTAGATAAGGTTCTCAGAGCTTAAAGGGAAGCAGAGGTCATGGACATTAATCCTCAGATGTTTTCAAATGAGGAAAAAAGAGTCAATTCTATTTAATGAGCATCTACAACTCTTGTTTCCTATAGTTGGCATTTCCCAGGGCCTCCTCACTTGTCCTTTTCCTTCTCTACACAACTCTAGAGCTTATTAGACCCTCCCTCTCTCTTTCCTTAATACAATGTAGTCAAGTATCTCATCATTTTAAATATAGTAATGTTCCCCAAAGGCTCAGATATTGAAGGTTTGGTCCTCAATGCAACAATGTTCAGAGATGGGTCTTTTGAGAATTAAATGGATAATGAAGGCTCTGACCTCATCAATGTATTGATCCATAGATGGACTCATAGCTGTGACATTGTTGGGAGGTGGCAGAAGCTTCAGGAAAGGGGACATGGTCTGGAAGGGTATAGCTTGTCCTTCCTTCCCCTTCCTTCCTTGCTTTGGAGAGGTGAGTAGCTTTCTCTGCCACATTCTTCCACCATGATCTTCTGCCTCACTATAGGCCTAAAGTAATATAGCCAGCCCACCACTGACTGAAATCTGAAACCATGAACTAAAATAAATCTTTCCTCCTTTAAGTTGCTTTTCTCAGGTATTTTGTCACAGAAATGAAAAGTTTAGCACAGAGAGTTTTTGAGAATTATCTCAATAACCTTCACAATAACTCTATGAGGTAGATATGAGTGTCCCCATTTGTGGCTGCGGAAATTGAAACTTGTTTAAAGACAAGAAACTTATATAATATCACCCTGTGAGGAAATGATGGAAGCCAGGATTTGAACCTATGGCAGGCTCTCCAAGCTGCCTCCTCATCCATTGTGTCAGGACCTTATAATCTGTGTTCATAACCCCTTATTTTACCAGCAGCCAAGCAGGGAGCAGATTTGGCTGCCTGCATACATAAGAAATAAGCAAATGATGTAAAAAAAGGAAAAATGAATTTTATGCAGTTTGATCAAAGTGGGGACAAGCAGCTAGATTTTTCTCTGCTGGCCCTAAAGAAATGGTTACAGTTTATAGCAATGAAAGCCAGGTGATAGGCATATGTAGGTTTAGCTAGGCTGTGCTAGTCAGAGAACATGTCGGCTTCAGCTTTCCTAATGCCTGGCCCAGTCCAAGGGTAGTTTTTATTCTCAGCATGAAGAAGCTTTCTGTTTCAGGATGACAATAAGGAATTACTCTGTAAATCCTTTGAGAATTCCTCTGAAATTTTTAGATAATCCTCCCCCTAGTCCCTCTACTCCCATCTCCTGCAATACTTCTACTCACAGATGCAGGAAGAAAAGAGTAACTCTTCCATTTCAACCTGTTAGCTGATTCCAATTTCCCAGCCAATGTGTCCTCTTTCCCTTTATCCTTATTCTACACTAAAATCAAATGACCAGCAGACAGCTGTATACATAGGTCTTGTGCTAAGCAAGTTTATTCAATGCTGAATGCAAACAACCAAAAGACCTCTCAAGTAACATACTCTGTTTCAAAGTATTTCACCTCCTTTTTTCACATATTCTTTAAATAAATTAGCATAATTGGTTCTTTATATGTCAAATATAACTTAGGGGGAAAAATCTGTCTTTTAAGTACAATTCTCATATACAGTAACATCTAAGAATCTGATCTATGGATCACAGTAGAATCCATTTCCCTTTCCATCCTAAAGCAGACAGCCATCTGGCTGAAGAAGGAAAAAAAAAAGATTGTTTACAGAAGGGTTTCCATGTTACAATCAAGAAGTTTTAAAATACCTCCCAGGGTCCTATGCGGCCTTGCTTTTCCCCACAGCCTTCCAGATGTGGCTCCTTCTGTTTTCCTCTGTCCTTTCCTCCTTTTGTTGTCTCTCTCCTCTCTTCTTTCCCCTTTCCTAGATTTCTGTATTACTAAAGAGGAAATAGTAAATGACACAGTGCAGTTGGCTCTGACTCCCCTACCCCCCACTCCTTTGGTGAACTAGCAGAAGAACTGGCTTGGATTCCTGTGCACAGGGCAGGAAATAACCCCATGGAGAGGCCTCTCCATCAGTGGCCTGTTTTTCACTCCCAGCTGGCTCAGACTGTTCCAAGGGCGGGCAGCCAGGCTTGCCCCAGGGGAGCTGTCAGGACACTGTGCCTCTCCCTCTTTTTTCCCTGCCTGCAAGGGCTGTCCAGCTCCTCCACGCCCAGTGTATCCCACACTCAAAGGCATCTTTCCATCTTCAGGCTGTGGCCAGAAGGGAAGTGTCATTTAGCTTTCAAAGGATGCATCTGTGCCCAGGGAAGTTAAGGGTCCAAAAATGCATAGGCAGTCTCCATCATCTCTATCTACTGCCAAACAATAGAGCAGGAAATTTAGTTCCAAAGGTCTGAAACACACATTGGCATGCCTGAGCAGGGCACCTGTGACTCATATAGTCAGTGTAAAGGAGACAGATATTATTAGGGCACCATCAATCCTAGCTCTTGTCCTAAGCAACAATATTGGTGAAATCATGATTTGGGATGTAGATATAACTTTTCTCATTCATATAAAATAAATGTATATTTACCTATGTGTCGCCAGTGATTGTGTACCAATTTGGGGAGACTATTATCCAAGTCTATAGGATACCACTGGTGCTGCTCTTGGCCATCGCTGTAATAATTCTCCCCAAGTCTCCTGCCCTTGGAACCTGGAACTGTGGTAAGGAAGAATCCAAACTGGGCTCCTACCTTCTGCTTTTCCTCTTCCAGGTCAACTTCTACCTCAAGAGAAGCATCGCTCCAGTAAACCCTCTGAGGAAGGCTCCAGGTGGAGGGCAGGGAGGCAGGATGCAGGCGCAGCTTCGGATAACCAAAAAGAAAGATGGGGCCAGGAAGCAGCCACACAGAGGCCCTGGCTGAAGCCCACCGGGCCCTGGCCACGTTTAGGAAGTCTTTATTTCTGCTCTCAAATCCCATGAGGCATGCTCTCTATTGTTTTTTATCTGAGACATATTTAAATATAAACATATTGAGAACAGTTCAAAATGGTCTTCATGTGTTTCAGGAGTAAGCCTTCTCTAGGCCAATGTCAAACAGCGTGGAGTGGAAAACTGGTGCAGTTGTACACATACAGCCTGAGGGGTTCAGGTTTCTGTTCTGGGAGTTTGGTTTAGGCCTGTCCCCTGTGCATCCAAGACTACTTCTGCTTGGTTGGCCACCCAAGAGGGGGTTGTTATAAAGTGAAGCCACCCCATATGCCTGGCCCCTTCTGCACATGGCCAATTCCCTCTCCAGTTCTCCACATCATGACTCAGCCAAGGAGCCCTGGCCAGGACACCACAGCTGTGCTGTTTGGATTCTTCAGCCATCAGAATCATGAGCCAAATAAACCTCCTTACTTTATGAGTTATCCAGCCTTAATATTTTGTTCTAGCAGGACAAAAATGGACTAAGATTTGAAATCAGAATTAATGAGGGCAAGGGAGGGCAGAATTTAGGACAAGAAAGAAGAGTCTCCAACTTTGGGTCCAGCATTTTCCTGACTTGTACCCCTTTAATTTTATATCTAGAGTTTGATTTTACTTTATTTTTTGTATTTATTTATGTTGGGTACTAAGTATTGGACCCAGGGGCACTTTACCATTGAGCTACATCCCTAGGCCTTTGAAATTTTTATTTTGAGGTAGGGTTGCACTAAGTAGTTGAGGGTCTCACTAAGATGCTGAGGCTGACCTTGAACTTTCAATCCTCCTGCTTCAGCCTCCCAAGTCTCTGGATTACAGGCATATGTCACCAAGCCTAGCTACAGCTTTATTATTATTATTATTATTATTATTATTATTATTATTATTATTCCCAGGGGACTTAACCACTGAGCCACATCTCCAGCCCATTTTATGTTTTATTTTGACACAGCGTCTTGCTAAGTTGCTTAGGGCTTCACTAAATTGCTGAGTCTGGCTTTGAACTCATGATCCTTTGGCCTTAGCCTCCTGAGTGGTTGGGATTACAGATGTGCGCCACTGCAACCGGTAAGGAGGATTTTGATATAGGATGATCAGGGAAGGCCTCTCTGAAGAGGTAATACTTGGCTGATAGGGAAAGGGCAAGAAGGAAGACTCATAAAGAATACGATAAAAGTTTCAGGCAGGCTGGGCACAATGGCATATGCCTATAATCCCAGTGGCTCAGGAGGCTGAGGCAGGAGGATCACAAGTTCAAAGCCAGCCTCAGCAACAATGAGGTGCCAAGCAACTCAGAGTTCTATCAAACTAGCAACAAGCTATTGATCCTTGGGGCTTGACTCTCAATGAAACACAAAATAGGGTAGTGATGTGGCTCAGTGATTGCCTTGAATTCAATCCCTGGTACAATCCCCCCGCCCCCCGCAAAAAAAAAAAAAAAAAAAAGCACCAAGTAGAAGTAGCAAATCCAAGAACCCTGTAGCAAGGAAGAGTGTGTGTGTGTGTGTGTGTGTGTGTGTGTGTGTATGTGTATGCTTAGTTTCCTGACTTATGATCTCAACATGCTAAAAGTCTCACTCAACATAGGTCCAACAGCGTAGCATCCAAACCACACTAAGTCTAGTCATAAGTGAACTAGTAAGACTCACTTTTTCCATGGCAACAGAAGACACCCTAACTTGGACCAATCATCTCAAAACCCAGGATCTAGAAAGTGGGACAGCATGGCTCCAAACAAATCTGCTATCAGAACTGGATAAGTCAAAGCTGTTGTGTCCAGAGAGACATCTTCACCACAATTTGTCTAGCACACATATTCCTGACACACACCCTGCTCCCGCCCCCTCATGCCCACCTCCTTCCTGGACTATGGCTTTATTTCTACTTCAACACTAACTTCATTCTGGCTGTTAAACCACGAGTAAACATTCCCCGGGGCAGATGCCTAAGCAAACATCAGTACCTTCCCTTCTCCTAAAACTTAAATTTCATTCACCATTTAAAAAGACTCCGTCTACCAGTTCACCTTCTCTCCCACTCCTCCCCAGGATCTCTCCCCTCAGGGGTCTTCCTTTCTCCTACCTTTATTTTCTTCAGATGTCACAGACACCCTGCACCCTTTCACCCTTGCCCCTCTGACTGGGGGCACCTGAGGGAGCTTACAGCTATGGCCCTGTAGTTAGGCAGCAGTCCAGGAAAAGTTTCAGGGGCGTTGCTTGTCTCTGATGACTCCTATTGCACAGTCCTGGGGAGGTGGCAAATGAAATCATTCCTTGGATCGATATTCACCCCATAGGCAGAGGGACAAAAGGCCTCTTTGACTTCCTTTTAGGTTGTGCCCAGTGAGGTCTTTGGAAAGGAGCCTCCATGCTGAGCATCAGATCAAAGGAGTTAATGAGTTTCCTTAAATCTGTTCTGGAATCAGATGAAGTATGAGTAAGCCAAAGAAATGACCACAATTTTATTCTTTTAAAAAAAATACCCAAATGTTTACACACATGTAGTTTATAGAAGACTTTTATTTTACAAACCAATATAATTTTTTTTTAAATGGAGGGATAAAGGATCCACTGTCTTTTGGGAGCTAGTTTTCAAATTTTTATTAAGGACAATTAGAAAAAATACAGTTTCTACCTAATATCACCATTGATTCATAAATAACTTGAATGCCAAAAATTAGGAAAATTACATCTTAATATTAAAAAATCTCATAAATCAAATTTTTTCCATTTTTACTAAGAACAGTATATGTTTCATTTTAGATTAGCATTTGTGAGTCAGGAATTGGAAAATGGAACTTTGAATGTCTCCCGTAACTAAAAATTTATAAGTAGGGACTTCAGACACAGCTTCCTTTATGTGGTCTAGCATATGTATTCGTTTCTGGATTTCATTATTTTTAACAGTAACTTCTTTATCACACAATCTCTGCTTATGAGGGGACAAGATGACCAACAATGTCTTTAAGCTTATATTCTACCAAACTAGCAACAAGCTATTGATCCTTAGGGCTTGACTCTCAATAATGTGAATTGAGTTATGTGCCTGTCCCTAAAAATATCATAATGACTCTGATTAGTCAGTCTTGGGCCTTATGACTACTCCTGGAAGGTGCAGAGGGATGGGGAAGATTGATAACATAAAATAAATGGTTCTCATTTAAAAAAAAAGTTATAACTCTGTTACCAAATAAAGAGGAATAGATGGTGGTAAGGGGAGGAAATGACCATTTTATTGAATTTAAGCACCATTTAAATTTTACTGTGATTTGCTGGGCATGGTGGCACACACCTGTAATCCCTGTGACTCCAGGCTTTGGCAGGAGGATTGCAAGTTTGATACCAGCCTCAGCAATTTAGTGAGGCCCTGAGCACTTTATCAAGACCCTGCCCCAAATTTAAAAAATAATAAGAGGTTAGAGGTATGGCTCAGTAGTTACATGCCCCTGGGTTCAATGCCCAGGACCAAAAAAAAAATTTACTGTGATTTTTAACTCAAGCAAATTCCATCATTCAACAAATGTGTACTAGAGACACTTATGTACCAGGCACTTGATAGACAACAGGGATATAAAGATAATTCAATAGTCTTGCCTTCAACAAACTCACCATCCACAAGGAAATTAAGAAGCCAGCCACTCTGCCATGGGGATCAGCCCTGTCAGAGGCCAGAGAATCATGATGGCTTTATCACCCAGTGCCCTCCTTTGTTTGCCTTAATACAGTCTGAAGTCAGATGACTCACTTCTATGACACGTTGCACACTAATCTCGAACACATTATTATCAAATCTGGGTGGAGGACATGAAATAGGCCACAAGTTCAACAAGAGTCAGCAAGGGGGTCAGCTGCTTAAATAGGTAATGATTTCTGAGACTGTATCTGAGAAGAACAGTGTCACATCACCAGAAACACAGTCCCCCATGCCCTCCCAAGAGTCTGTTTTCTCTGAGTGTAAGATACAAATGGTGGCACCTTTTCAGGAAGAACAGTGAGGGTCATAACATCACTAGAGCCCACGGATGCACCAGAATAAAACATTGTGAGGGAAGGCAAACACAGCAGATCCAGAACAAAGTTTCCAAACGAGATGAGTTGTGGAGACTTTGAAACTTGGCAGATGATGGCTTTGCCTTTTACATATTCAGAAATCTTGGGCAAGCCAGATACTGTATTCTCAGGTCTTCCAGAGGCTGAAGGAGGAGGATCACAAATTCAAGGGCCAGCCTGGGCAACTTAGCAAGACCATTTCAAAATAAAATGAAAAATAATAAAATATAATAAAAGGCTGGAAATATAGCTCAATATTAGAGCAGTTTCCTCACATACAAGAGGCCATGGGTTTAATACTTAGTTCTGGAAAACATAATAATATTATGGTATCTTGGACAAATCAGGTAGTTTCCAAAATATGGGTACAGAATTACAAGCCATGTTCAAGAGGTCCATTAGGACAAATCTGTGTGATGCAGGGGATAATTTTCTGTGATGCACTATCCTAGCAATAACTCATTTAGTGCAAAAGTTATTTTCTTATTCATTTCTTTAGATTCTTCTGAACACACTTCAAGGACAATGTTTTATTTGGTCCTAATGTTCTAACACTAGCTAGTTTCATTTTTTTTTTTTTAACAAATGAAAGCGTGGGTTTCAGACTCAGAATTAGAGTCTAAAAACAATCCTTACATTGTATTTATTTTGATGTTTACCTACTATGAATTATAACCTCTACTAGTTTTGCACTTGTGGTATGAAATTTTTCTTTAAAAAATAAACTGACCAAGCTGGGCATTGTGGTTGGTGCACACCTGAAATCCCAGTGACTCGAGTGTGTGTGTGTGTGTGTGTGTGTGTGTGTGCAGGAAGATTGCAAGTTCAAAGCCAGCCTGAGCAACAGCAAGGTTCTAAACAATTCAGTGAGACCCAGTCTCTAAATAAAATGAAAAATAGGGCTGGGGATGTGGCTCAGTGATTGAGTGCTCCTGAGTTCAATCCCCAATACCCCACCCTCCAAAAAACAAAAAAATATATATTAAACATAACTTTAAAGAAAAAAAATTCTAAAAAAAATAAAGTGACCAGATTTAAATAAACATATTAAACAAAAAATAGAAAGGTGTTATACCATATAGTCAAGAGTTATTATGATTATTTCCTGAGAGTAAAAGATTATAGAGAAAAGCAATATAGATTGATGAATGTGTGGGAATAGGAAGGACTAGGTAAGCTATTTAACCTCATGTGGCCTCAGATTTCTCATAAGCTAAGGACCAAAGTGACTACCTTGCTAGTTTGTTGTCATGGTATATTTTTTAAAAATGTTATTTGAAGAAGAAAAATACAAGATTTTATTACCTTGTTTCATTAATTTGAACAACCAGGAAAATAAAACAGATGGCTTATAAAAATTTTTCTTTTAAAGTATTGATTCTAGCTTGGCAGGGAGG